AGAGAGACAGAGAGAGCGAGAAAGAGAGAGAGAGATAGAGAGAGAGCGAGAAAGAGCGAGAGAGATAGAGAGAGAGAGACAGAGAGAGCGAGAAAGAGAGAGAGAGATAGAGAGAGAGCGAGAAAGAGCGAGAGAGATAGAGAGATAGAGAGAGAGAGATAGAGAGAGAGAGATAGAGAGAGAGAGATAGAGAGAGCGAGAAAGAGATAGAGAAAGAGAGATAGAGAGAGAGCAAGAAAGAGAGAGAGAGAGCGAGAAAGAGCGAGAGAGAGAGCAAGAGAGAAAGAGAGATAGAGAGAGAGCGAGAAAGAGAGAAAGAGAGATTGATAGGGAGAGAGAGCGAGAAAGAGCGAGAGAGAGAGAAAGAGAGATAGAGAGAGATAGAGAGAAAGAGAGAGATAGAGAGAGAGAGAGAGAGAAAGAGAGATAGAGAGAGAGTGAGAGAGAGAGAGCGAGAAAGAGAGAGAGATAGAGATAGAGAGAGAGAAGTAGAGAGAGAGATAGAGATAGAAAGAGAGAGAGACAGAGATAGAGATAGGGATAGGGAGAGAAATAGAGATAGAGAGATAGAGAACGAGACATATAGAGATAGAGAAAGATAGAGAGAAAGAGAGATAGAGAAAGATAGAGATAGAGAGAAAAAGAGAGAGAAAGAGAGAGAGATGGAGAGAGAGAAAGAGAGATAGAGAAAAAGAGAGAGATGGAGAGAGAGAAAGAGAGATAGAGAAAGAGAGATGAGAGAGAGAGAAAGAGAGAGCGAGAGAGAAAGAGAGAGAGAGAAAGAGAGAGAGAGCGAGCGAGAGATAGAGAGAGATAGAGATAGAGAGAGATAGAAAAAGAGAGATATAGAGAGACAGAGAGATAGAGATAGAGAGATATAGAAAGATAGAGAAAGAGAGAGTGAGAGAGAAAGAGAGAGAGAAAGAGAGAAAGAGAGAGAGAGTAAGCGAGCGAGCGAGAGAAAGAGAGCGAGCGAGAGAGCGAAAGAGAGAGAGAGCGCAAGTGAGAGAGAGAGAGAGCGAGCGAAAGAGAGAGAGAAAGAGAGAGAGAGAAAGCAAGAGAGAGAGAGCGAATGAGCGAGAAAGAGTGAGAGCGAGAGAGAGAGAGAGAGAGAGAAAGAGAGCGAGAGAGAGAGAGCTAGAGAAAGAGAGAGAGCGAACGAGCGAGAGAGAGCGAGAGTGAGAGAGAGAGAGAGAAAAAGAGAGCGAGAGAGAGAGAGAGAAAAAGAGAGCGAGCGAGAGAGAGAGAAAAAGAGAGCGAGCGAGAGAGCGAGAGAGCGAGCGAGCGAGAGAGAGAGAGAGAGAGAGAGAGAGAGAGAGAGAGAGAGAGAGACCACCAGGCCACCAAGACACCTATGACCACTCTGATGGAGTTACAAGCTTCAGTTGTGATACAACAACTGTTGTCCAGGTTCTTCACTAGTTTTGGGAGATTAAAAAACAGACACTGATGAAGAAAACTTGTATTAAATCTCAACAAGAGTTTGGCAGATGGTTGTGGAAGACTCCACTGTCAAGTGTTTTTCAGCAGCCAGTCCTGGAGGTCTTGTAAATATGATAAAATAAATGCAACAACATATAAGGAAGTCCTAGAAGACAATCTGATGCAGTTCCCAAAGGGCCTGTGTTTAATGAAAAGCCTCCATTTAAGTTGGTGTTTTCAGCAGCTGAAGAACGTGACATTCTGGTTTTACTGATTTTATTTTGTCAGCTGTGTCCTTACCCAGACCATGTGATAGACGGTGTATATATCACTGTCACAAGCGTACACACGGATCGCCCTCAGAGTGAAGCCAAACTTTTTCCCGGAGCTGTGGATGACGATGGGCTGCCGTGGGTTGGCGCCGCAGAGAGGGGAATCTCTGCTTGGAGAAGAGTCCCTTGAGGATGGATCCGAGGAGAGGGAGTAAGGAGACAATGGGCTGGCCAGAGGAGACACCCCAAAGATATCTGGGAAAACCAGGAGAAGAAAATAATTCACCACCAGGGCAGATAGTTTTATTTAATCAAAACCTAAACTGGCTTTGAAGGAGGACTGAAGGGATGATATGAAAGTAATAGGATTTTATTCCCAGCAGTAAAAAAGCCTTTTGCTCTAACTGTATATCTTGTTGTTAGTACTTTGGAGTCATGGAGCTGGAGGTGTCATACTGAACACTTTTGAACAGATATTAGTCACTTCATTATTCAGACATATAGGACTATCAGGAAACAGATTTTTAAAGTCGTCTCGTATGATTGTGTTCTGTTAGTCTGTGGGTGGACATACCAGCAGGGATCATCAAAGAAAGGGCTCCAGCTGAGACAGATTTAGGGACTTTTGCCACAGCTCCAGTCTTCCCTGCAGCATTCTCTGGTCGCAGAGACGAGGTCTGAGGCTCCTGATCTGTGGAGGAGTGACTGGTGGTGTTGGTGATCTCTGCACTCTCACCTCTGGACGTCAGCTGGTCCAGATGTTCAGAGAAACTTCCTAAATGTAACAAAAGTAGTGCAGGATTAGGCTCACAATTACTGCCAAACAGGTAGGACACACACACACACACACACACACACACACACACACAC